GTCTGAAGGTACAAATTGCTGTCACAAAACTGGTCCGTGTTTGGGCAGGGGACACTGAAAACTCACCGGGGGGGACACTGGGACAGTCGGCAGCTCTGCGTAGCTGCATTCAGCTCTTCAAACAAATCCTCCAGGAAGGGACACTTGCCTGGTGTGCCATCATCACAGAAACACTCTCTGGTTTGAAACATAACATGTTAAGATCATATTCAAAGTTATTCTTACCCTTCCCTTCTTTCAGGCAGGCCCATGGGCTATTTTAGGTCATTTTGCTGAGCAATGCAGTTTTGCTGCTCTGAAAGGCGACCTCGATACCCGAAACAAAAAAAAAGCTTGAGAAAGATTCTGTAATTAAGTATCTCACCTTTTATTTTGTTCATTTACACTTCTGGCACTGACAATTCTTTGAAGATATTTATTTTTTATGTAAAGACCAAACTTCATTAAAGCAATCAGAACAGAAGTCAATTAAATAATTTTACATCACTTAAGTTTCAGAAAATGTACAACACTTTCATACATTATAGGCTTGACTGGTTGCAAAAGGAAATGGCACATGTTCGACATGGTTAAGAAATAACTTGGACAACCCAACAATTAGTTTTGCCAAAACCTGTTTCGTACTGAATACCGTAACAGGCGCCCAGGGATTACAGGATGCCCGACGGCACCACGTGCATGTTGTTATTCACCACGGATGTGTTACTACCAATTTGGTCTCCAATAACGTCTCAAATATTCTACACAGAATTTGTCACAGAAAGATCCGGTTAAGGGTTTTGTAGGGGTGTGAGATTCACGATGGAAAGCCAGAGATGTGACTCGTGCCACTTCCCAGCGATGCCCTGGACCAGCAGGACACGGAGCACATGGAGAATTTCAAGCACATGAATAATCCTATCGATTTCACGGGGACTACTCCAACGCTGGCAGCCGAACAGATGGCTGGCGCGCACCAGGCAGGGCCCGCGCCGTAACGCAGCATCCCAGCACCACCAAACCATCTCGCCTCACACCTGCTGAGGATCCAGGAAGTCTCTCCTGCAGAGGTCACGATGATGGTCGTACATTCAAGTCCTCTCCAAAGTCTATGTCATGTTTAAGGCAGCAAGAGAAATTTGCCTTTATTTTAGGACTTCAGAAACGGATGTTTCCTTTAGAAATAGGTGGACAATATTCATAATTAATCAGCGCTCCCCTTATTTATATAAATGCGATGAAAGGCCAAACCAAATTTTGACAAACTGTATCTCAACAGAATCAAGGAGTGTAACTGAACCGGAGCTGGAGCTTCATAATTACACGTGCCAGATCACTCACATGTAACATACCGTCTAGGGAGAATGTGAAAAAAGTGGGGATTCAGATGAAATCTGGACTCTTGAGGCCTGATGCTGGTCAAACTTCCCCTGGCGTGAGTGAGCTCTACTGAAGCTGAGGAGTGAGCACCTCCGAGGAGAGGTGTGAGTAAGATTAAAAACATGCCGCTGGTTCACACTAACAGGTCATTGTGGCTAAAGTATATTCTCATATACAGAACTCTGGAACACCATTAACATCCATTTACAAAACACTACAGTGATGGTTATTGGCACATAAAAAACTCCTTCTCTATATGAAAACATACACAAAATAGATAAGAACTGCCATTTTTTTTCCCAGACTTTTAAAATCTATATATATAGTTGCCTTTAAGGAGTTTTAACCCCCAGTATCACAAACAACAATATTTCTTTAACAATGTTCACCTAGATTTTACTGTGCTGACATTTGTAACACTGCCACAACCTAGACCACTTTGTGGATTATGCTGAACTGTACTGTACACAAGGCGATGAAGATCGATAGAAAACCACTAAGATTTCTGCACAAAAATGTGACTTGTTAAAATCCAGAGAACGATTGAGTCACTTTATAGGCAGCAGCTACATGTAAGCTGTAAATGTTACCCGCAATAAAAACACATTTTGCCATAAAGCACATACTGTGGCATTATCTGCTTCTGGCCTGGTACACAAAGCTCGGTTTTCTTCCCAATGCAGAGGAATGGGTTTGGTTTGCCTGACTCTCTCAGAAAAAAAGTGCACAAATATCTTACTCTTTAAAGTGCTTTGCAGAACTGTCTTTTCTGCCTTGATTTCTACCCCGAGATCTCTCTGTGCTGTGAAGACTCTGCCTCCTTCTCGTGTAGTGGTGTTCAGCTAACAAAGCCTCTTATGCAAGTACGAGCGAAATTTCAAGACCCTGTTAGAAGAGCATTGATGTTGAGAAGTAGAAAACTGGGTACAAAGCTGGGAAGTACAGGGTCTATCTTTAAATAGCCCATTGTGTGTCTGTGGGGCTGCCCCCAACACCCTCACTGCCCAAGGAAAGAGTCTTCCTCAGGGCCTGGAGCAGCCCCTGAAAGTTAAACTTTTCCCCCAGGCTCAATCTGAGTGACTAAGAAGGGCAAGACAGATTTCACCAAGGAAAAAAAGTACTTTGCAAACTCAGTTGCCATGTTCTCACCTCCACGTGGGCACAGGAGATGAGCACTCGTGTGCTTCCTCCCCCTTAGTCTGCCAGCCCCCCTTCCTGTCCATGGGACCAAGCACAGTCCCTTGGTCCCACCATATTTCTCCCATGTGGGAGAGAAATCAGAGACTGCTCCTCTTGGCTACGACACCGCCTCTGCTGAGACATGACTTCGTGGGGCTTTTGATGCATCATTTCTTTCTTCTCCCCTCCCAACCCTAACTCCCACACCACGGAAACGCTGCATTTGCCAACTCATGCAAAATCGAGTCGGTGTTGGAACAATGACCCCTGGGATGCATCTTCTCTTGTCCCAAAATTCCTGACAGGTCTGTCCCTGCAGCTCACAGGGCGGCAACGTCCATGAGAGTGGTTTATCTGAGGTGCATCTTCGTGGGGCTTTTGATGCATCATTTCTTTCTTCTCCCCTCCCAACCCTAACTCCCACACCACGGAAACGCTGCATTTGCCAACTCATGCAAAATCGAGTCGGTGTTGGAACAATGACCCCTGGGATGCATCTTCTCTTGTCCCAAAATTCCTGACAGGTCTGTCCCTGCAGCTCACAGGGCGGCAACGTCCCTGAGAGTGGTTTATCTGAGGTGCACACGCAGCAATGCGGTGCCAGCCCTCAAACCAGCCCGGGGGCCTCGCTTTGCTTCTACGTCTATTTTCAAACCAGGTTTGCTTCTCTCCTTCAAAACTGATCTTGACCAACAAAGCGACAAGGGGAAGAAACAAGTGGCAAATTATCTCAACTCCCCCAACACGTTAGATTTGCAACTACTACCTGTGAATTAAATTTAAAAAGATTAAAAATGCATCAGGACTTGTTTCAGTTATACTTGCTCTTAGACCAAAACGTGCAGAGTCAGTGGATTGATCCAAATTAAAATATCTCAAATTGCTGTGCGTAATTTGTGCCCTGCTCTACCAGCAGCATTACTCTAGCGTTCCCGATGCACAGAATACCTGAATTAAGTGTGCAGTCCCTGTGAAGAAACCATTTCACATCTTCTGCAGAAAGCTTTCCATAAAACGATATTGTGCTTAGACATACTATTTATGCTACTTTATAAATTAAAATCCTGTCATAAGAAATTATTCAGCTACACTGTATTTTTAATCTTTTATCTGGAATGTTACTAGGTCTACCCTTAGCAAAAAATATCTTCAAACTTAAAATATGCACAAATATAAAAAATCTTTGCAAAATAGAAACATTTATTTAATTTTCTTCATACATTATAAACGTTCAAAGATTCTAAAAATAAAACCCTAATTGTGTAAGATTAATTTCAAGTATTTGATCTCACTTTTATTCCCCATGATTGAACCTTAGTACTAGGTTCAGTGTTTCTAAAGTACGGAATGTGATCCTGATGTAAAGCAACCCTAAAAGGAAGACTTAAACCCAACTCTCTGTGGGTGGGGACGGGGGAGTGACAACGAAGAAGCTGATATATTTTTGCACCCTCCCAGCCAGTAGCAACGATGGGTAAAAATGCCCGTGTTTCAATCGTTTTGCCTCAAGAAAAAGGGTGCGGGACGCAAACCTTCAGAAAAGTGCTTTCAGTAGGACCGAAGGTGTTGCGTGAGCAAAGGAGCCCAGTGCGACACGCAGCTGAGCGCCGCTTTGGAGGAGGTCGGTGAAAGAAGGCTGGCAGAGAGAGATGGTCTTCTGCTGCTGCTAAAAAGCCCCAGCGCTGCCTGCAAAACAAAAGAGGCTGATCTGGTGACAGCCATCGTTCCAGCGACCCCGCTTTGGTTATGCCCAATGAACGCAGAGGTTTCCTCCACCTGTGGACACACGTGCAATGAAGTGCAAGGTCATCACCATCGTTGCGCCGGGGCAGGGACACCCTCCCTGGCTCACACCCGGCTCCAGCAAAACGTGCCGAGCCAGGGGACGTTCAGAGGTGCATCCGTGAGGGTGGGCTCATTCTTTTGGGGGGCTCAGAACCACAAGTGCCTGTTCTCAAAAGCCAGTAAATGCCCACTTAAACCTGTCAGCCACGTACGCACGGGTTGGGCACTACACACCTATTCACACGCTCTTCTGGGGAACAACACTCTTCCAAAGAAGGGTCTTCAAACACACATTGTTTGGTTTCAGGAAGAAAGCAGTTTGCCCTTAGAATTATTTTGTTCTCTTCTGTGCCAAGTATCCCTTTTTCTCATTTCAGGTACTGCACCTTCGGTGAAGGTTTCTAAGAGGTGACAGCCTAAGGAGGCATCCCACGGCAGGTGCATTGGTAGATAGGTCTGGAGACCTGAGCATTTCCACCAGCTGGTGCTTTCAAGCATAAAAATATTGTGCCCTTAAAGGGGAGGCAAGACGGAAGGCGTGAGAATCCCCCCTCTCACAGCGCAAGGAGATATTCAAGGTCGGGCCGCTCTTCTCAATGATTTGTTTGAAATTCCCTCTGCCCGCTATGCTTTTCCCTTTTAGTCCCAGTCAAGTCACAAAAGGATGCTTTAAAATGTTTTCTTTCCAAAAATGTTTCTTTGATTAATGAAGTAAAAAAGAAAACAATGCAAAATATACCCAATCGCTGAAGTTCAATAATTGGAGATTAAGAATTCCCCCCCAGAAGATCAGCATAATGGCAGATAACATAATGGCAGGCTTCTTTACAACAAAACCCCATGTTATCAAATAAAAATAATTTAGTAACAAATGTCCAGTCTCAGTTTTGATACTAATCCTACATTCAAAATATTGTTCAACCCAAAAAGGCCCACAAAGCAAATCTATAAAACTTTAATCTTTACACAATGAAAAATAAATGTACTTTTACCAATTAAATGGGGGGCAGCCCACAGGCAGAGGAGGTTTTCCACATTCTTTCATGAAGCAAATGTTTCAAAGATAAGAATTTGAATTGTTGATGCTTTCAAACTCCTATCTCTGAAGACATAAAGCAGTGAGGACAGGGCAAGGAAAAAAATAACTTAATATTTTTATGTAGCTGCATAAAATTCAATTTGCCAAGGCAAGCAATCATAGCAGGTGAATAAAATAGCATTCATATTTTCATTACCAGGCTAAAGGCAGCCAAGTTGATTTTTGTGCCTGACATTTTCTTGACAGTTTTGCAATGCTTCGGTAAGGCAATTAATGAGATGTAGGCGTCTGCCCATTGCTAATATTTCTCTTTAGATCCAGAAAGACACTGGTTGACTAAGGGCATTTGAAGGAAAAACGTGCTGGGGTTCATGTGCTCTGCACATACGAAGACAAACTGAAGGCAACATGATTATTCAGAAGCAAAAGGCGCAGGAGGGATGACCACTGTGCATTTCGCAGCACAAGACCTCTCCCCTCCTTTTCTTTCCTTTAGCTAATGATATTTTGTATTCAAAAGTAGGCACAAACCCTAACATTCAAAAGCAAAAAAAGTAAACAAAAATATTTTTTCCCAGCTAACTGAAGCCTCTACACTGTAGCTAACAATATATACTGGTTCATTTGTACGTGTGGCCACATACTTAGTTCTGCTTTCCCATTGTTGGGTAGCTAATTTTGGCAGTTTTCTCACAAACACCAACTCTTGACTGTAGTGTGTGCTCGAGAGCAGCAGTTGGGTAGACAACCCACTGTAACACAGACGTACGCCACCCTAGCGACCCTCCACCCAGGTGACTATGGCTCTCTCACTCATCTCAAATAAATAAAAATGGAAATTCTCTTAGGGCAAATTTGGGAAAATGTTCCCTCTGATAGATATGGCGGATATTTCTATTTTCCTAATCGGTTAAACCTTTTAAATGGCTGCCGTTACAGCAGCTTATGCATTCGTCATTCGTTGTACTGCACAGCAGAGCTATTTCCTAGGCTGCTATGGGATGGGGATCTGACAGATGTTGGCTGCTTTCCGATTAGCTACTCTATTATTTCATTTTTTGTCAGTATTGAAGGTAAGGACAACCACTGACCATCTAGGATAGCCTTCTGTATCCATCTGGTACAGGACACCCTACTGTACACCCTGGGACGGTGCAGTGTCATGCACACCTGGTGAATTCACATAATCATGGAATTCAATCTTGTTTGGAAGCCATTGCTTTTAGTTATCAAGAAAACACTAGCATACCAATTTTCCTCCCCAGTGGAGCATTTTTGAATGTGAAGGCATTTTTAGCTAGACAGTAGAAAGGAGAACCAGACCAGAAGCAGGGCAGTGAGGTCATCAGAGAGCTGCTTTTCCCCCAGAAGGCTTTTAAATGATTAAATACATCAGCAGCTGAAAATTATTCCACATCAGAAGCATCATTGTCAGAAAGATGGTAATTACTTCCCTTCACCCGAATATACTCGATATACCTCCCTTCATCAGAATCTGACATACCACATGTACATAGCCTGTTTTCAAACAAAGATTCAATTTCCTCTAGTTTTTTCCCTTTAGTCTCGGGAAGGCAGCCGTAGATGAAAACCAGTCCCAAGGCAGCAAACCCGGCGTAGAGGAAGAAGGCTCCTGCAATGTAAAAAATAATATGCCCAGTCGGTTACAGAAGCTCTGGAGCAGAGGGAGGGCAGAAGCAGTGGCTGCAGATATCAAAGGAGGGCATATAAAAGCAGCGGTTGGAGCGGCATCGTTAAAATAACGAGCTGCGGGGCCGTGGGTGTAGGAGAAGGCCACTTTATTGCACCGCTCCACAAAGGAGTAAATTAACAAAAGCAATTTCATTTCATGTGGAAGATAATACACATCACTTTTGCACAAGTCATTGTGCTGTTAAAATAAACAGCGATGAAACGGTTGCATATCCAATAAAGAAAAGCAAACACGAAAGGCAAGAACTTTCTTAGTTTATCTTAACAGCGAAGGACACGCTAAGACAATCCCTCAGAATAAGAAACTTTGGCAAAAAAGAAACAGGATTAAAATTATGCTTATGACTCTTACACCTAGTTATTATTTAGAAGTTCTCTGCAGAGACAATTAGCAGCGATTAAGAACCACCACCTTACCTAGGGGGGCAGAGGTCCTTACCAAAGGACCAACAAACATTTACCTGCCATGTGTTTCTAGACTGATGACTCAAAGGAATGACAAGTGGAGCTGAAAGGCTCTGCACTAGTAACGATGTGAAGGTCACATCAGCTCCCGAGCAGCTTAATGCAATTTAAATTACTGGTACTGGAGTGGCTGAGCAGTAATCTGACAAACTCTCCGCAGGCTCCAGCAGACAGAACTTAATCAACAGCTGGGAGTGGGGCAGTAGCATCTGACACAGCTATTTCTGCAAGGACCATCTGATATTGGCCTCAGATGCCATCATAAACTGAAAAATTGCAGATGCCATCTCCTTAAGTGGGAATCAGCATATTTCACTAAGTCAAAAGTGGGTTTTTTCCAGCTTCCCCGTTTTAATCAGCTGTCCTAGCTCTCAGTGAAGGACAGAAAGAAATGTTTCTTATGAAAGCTGGACCAAACAGATCCAGGCAGGTCCTGTCAGGCCTCTAGTCTTACTAAACCACGGTGGGTTGAGAACACTGCATTCACAGTTGACATTTCATGGCAAAACCAAGTGACCCAGAATCAGGAGAAAAGCTGTGCGCCGATGGCAGTGCTGCCCACGGGGATGCGTGCTGCTTCTTACCATAGTACGTCAGATATTCGGCCGTATGCAGAAATGTCAGTGACACCAGCACGTTGAAAACCCAGTTGACTCCAGAGGAACACGCGTTTCCTGTACTTCTAGCCCAAAGTGGGTAAATTTCAGAATTGACAGTCCAGGGCATAGGACCCATCCCTAAGAATAAGAAATAAAGATCAATCTCAGTCTAATGGCCGGACTGAAAATAAGTTTAATATGTAGCCTCACTATTCAACATTTTACCTTTACAATTTTTTAACTTATATGGATAAACAAACGTTTGCTTACCAGGTGCAAAGAAAACCAAGTATAAAATAAGGCCCAGAAGTGCTGTCCAAGAGTATGGAGTGGGGCAGAAATTGTATGCCCAGAACAAATCTTCCTTTTTGAATACTGTTTCGTTTGAACACCTGAAATACAACAATAAAACTTAGTATTAGAGAATTTTCAGGGAAATGGGTGACATCTCAATATAAACACGGTACATAATGTCTTATGAAAAGCTGACAAACGTAAAATTAAGGTGAAAAAGTTCCATCCCTGTTAATTTATCAAGGTCTTTGAGCCAGGTCCTACATTCAGAAATGTGCTTTTTCCCAAGCCTGGTCTTAGGAAGAGTATCCAGCAGAACAATCCTGAATTTAAACACTTGCCTTTTATCTACAGAACTTCTTCAAATGAATAGTCTTTACTACGCAAGTGGTCACACCAAAGCCAAGAAGACCATTCGGATGAATATCACACAGTGCAAAAAGGGCTGTGGCAGCAGGACTTTGAGCTACAGATGCTGCACGCAAGGATTGAAAGTCAAATGGAAGTTAATTCTTACCTCATTGATGACCTAACTATATGCTACATGCTTTGGGTGTGATCAGTAATGCCTATGGAGTGTGCCAAGGTCAAGTGGAGATATGAGGAAGAGGCATATACTTCTTTTTCTATGCAGTGAAATAATTTAGAAGAAGGTAGCATTTCTGCTTAGACAGTAAAAATAAGAATCAGACCAGAGGTAAACTGTGCCTGAGCTCCTGAAAGAAAAAGTGTCTTTATTCCAAGGACTATGTGGAAATTACATATTTCAAGGAACAGATATAAAATCAGGTATTCCCATCTGACTGCAAACCATATAATAAATTTTTAAGGAATACCAGCAACTTTATTTTTTGTTATATTTTTTTAAAAATTAGCATCTGTTTAAAGGGACAAGAATTCATAACTGTACCTAGAGAAACTTCTCAGCTGCAGCCACATCAATTGCTACAGTTGAAAAACCATGTACTTTTGGGGAGAAGAGACTTCAGCAGACACCACTCTTTCATATGCCAACATTTTTTACTTGAAGAGAAGAAATCCCAGATTTCTTCTCAGAGAGCTGACCATCTGCCTGGATTACAATTTCCAGATCAGCTGAGTGCTTACGTGAAAGATACGACCCTCCTGACAGTAGGCAAACCAGAATGAAGATGCCGGCAACAGGTGACAGTGGGCAAGAAGGTGGTGGAGCAACAGACACCCTGAAATGTTTCAGAGGATCTACCACCATTGCCGTTGACACTCAAAAAAAAGTTCCAACAAAACAGTTCTCCTCTAACTTTTCTGTTAAGAAACAACCAGCCCGCCCCAGGTGGAACAGGAATGTGCTTAGCACCGATGGCCAACCCAACACCGCTCCTGGGGCAGAAACCTTCCTTATCTTGGCACAGACGTACTAACAGGACAGTATTTATAGCAAGATAACACTACTAAGTCCCAAATCCAATGTCAGGACAGCTGGAAATCCAAAGTTCAAATTCATTTAGAAGAGAGAGGTTATCCCAACAAATACTGGAAAAAAGCACTTCTGAAACCCCAGCCAACCCTTAATGCTGCCTCAATGGCAGAAAGCTGTAAGATTTGCAGTTCCACCTTGTCCTCGAGCAGCACCTGACCAAGTGGAGCCAGTGCTCCCCGGAGAAATGCCGAGCCCGTGATGTGCTGCCAGCAAAGCAGCCGGTGCCGGTGTGTACCCTCCCACCCTGCTGTGCCGAGCTCCCCCAGAAAGCCCATCTCAGCCAGCACGCACAGGTTCACTTTCAGCCTTGAGGTGAAAAACACATAGAAAATAGACCAACTGAACATCCCTCTCAAAGATATGTTCCTCATGCATGGATACAAAACACCCATGGCCTCGGCTGCTGCATGGCCACTGGAGCACCATCAGCCTAAGCCACCAGCAGCTTCCATGACAGAGATTTTTCACCTTTTCTCAGCCAAAAATGCTGCTGCCATCCTTATGACTTCTTCGTCTTGCTTCTAAGCATCACCCTGTGCTCCTTCTGTTGCTTTGCTCTTTCATGGCTCAGGTCAGCATCTTTTTCTATGTTATGAGTGCCAGATATGGATCATTCTCTGTCAATGTCCACCCTGACACTTTCCTACCACTGTACGTACTCCTCACCGCATGTGGGTTAAATCAGGTTTGAGCTGTGTCCCAGGTACAAGACGTATAGAAAAATGAACTGGACTGGAGAATAACCCACGTGTTTAAACCTGAAGTTCCTTCCATGTAAAGGAAATGGTGTTTGAAAGATTAATTACTGAACAGCGGGTGATCCCATTGCCACCTCCTGCTCAGCCCCACGTAGATGCCCCACTGCGTCTGCCCCACTGCAAGATCCCAGGATTGCTCAGTTTCACACTGTTTTAACAACATCATGTTTGCTTCTTTCACTGTTACTCTAATTTCATTTGCAGGTGTTTGGTAATGAATACAAGCTGATTAGCATTTTAAAACATCTTGATGCTGAGACTGGTCTCTCCATTTGGCCCAGCCAGATCTGCAGCTCCTCAGAGAGGAGCCTTATGCTTTCTCTCCAACACTACTGTAAACAAAGACATACTGGTTTTATTATCTCGCACCCATCCCCATCAGCACAAACCAACCTGCTGATTCATACAGACACAACTGCTGGGAGGTCTGGATGTTTCCTTTCCCTACCATTTTTCCTCAGATGCGTCCTACTTTTGACAGAGTGAAACACAAACGATACGAAGGAAAACCAGATGTCTCCAAAGCCTTCTGTGGCTGAAGCCACTCATCTATTCCCCGCCCTCTGCCCGTAACTAAGAGGAAATTCTGTAGCAAGAGAGCAGACTCAGTGCATTGAAACAGGAAAAATAGCGCTCGAGACTAGACTTAGCAGCAACCTTGAATTAATAAACTGTGCTTTGCTTATCCTTCAGGAGTAACCCAGCCTGGTACACAGAGTAAAAACACAGATATCTGCATTTGCTGGCACCTTGCAGTGCTGGGTCCGTTCAAAAATAACACCCTTTCAAGGCTGGGGATTTGTTCAAGCTGCTACTGTGCTAATTCTACTGCTATGCTACTATTTCTACAAGACCTACTATTTTGCTGAAGAATATATTAATAATTACATATAATGCGTTACCAGATACAATTCTGAATTTTGTCCTGCACAAAGGGAGCATCTGTGGTAGAAAGTGGCCCAGCAGCTCCCCATCGCTGAAATGCACCGAGGAAAATGCCCTGTAAATGGCTTACAAGTGAAATGATGCAGTCGGGTACCAGTGCAGAGAGGCTGTAAATACCAGTACGCTGGGTAATAGTCATATCAGTATAAACAGTGAAGACACACCACATCATTTCCTCTGAAATTACTGCCAAAGTGAAAACATCATAGAAAAAAATCTTTACGGTGAATTTCTTTCGTTACGTATTTTCCACAGATAATTTAAGACACACATCTGTTCTAATTAGTGAAAACCTGACATTCCAACGACTGATGCCAACAATTCAACTGACTGGAAATAAATCAGAACAGCAGTAGATTTCTAAATTACAGGCATTATATGGTTCCATAATCACAGAATCCATCCTTTATCAGATATGGTCTGTAGTTCAGAAGATCTAAAGCTTTGCTCCACACCTCCTTAAATTACCTTCATATGGCACATAAAAGAAGGGAAAAGAAGGTAAAAGAAGACGAGCTGGCGTGGGTGGTCTAAAATGTTACTGCTAATGATGAGAGGATGAAACAAGGTGAGACCATTTCCTTGATAATCAATCTAAATTTTCCTAATACTTGAGCCAATTTGGCTGTAGAATAATCCTCAAGCACAACACTGAAACTCACGGATGGGGAATGGCTAGGCAGTGCACGGCACAGGCAAGTGAGCACAGCACAAGACAGACCCAGCTGATTTTCTCCTCAAATATCCCTTAATTTTTGCTTTGCTGCAGAGTGAGGACTGTGTAGCCCTAAAGATACGGCTTTTGTGGGAATTAAATGTTTCGTTCTGAACAGTACGTATATTTTTAATATGAAAGCTGCTGACTTCTCATTGTCTTTTAAGCCCTTCAGAAGCATCTTAAACGGATTTAGATCAAAAGTCTTAAAAGGTCAAAATTCAAATCAAATCAGGCTAAGGAAATAAATTACTTTTAAAGAAAAATCACCCAATATGATCATTCATCTCCTTAAAACGCTTGTTAGAATAGGCATATTTCAAAATGACACATTCTGCTCTGAGATAAAGATGGTATAGAAAGATTTTAGACCTAATTCACAGTTTCACTGATACCCCATTTCTTCGTTCTAACAAGAGTAAAGCTATTTAAGAACTGCTCCTGTGCCAGACTTCTGTGTCTGGCTTATCAAGATGATGATAATCTACAATCTACCAACTCAGTCTCTGGTGTAAAACAAATATATCGGATTTTTAAAAAACTCCTTTAAAGATAATTTTAAAGTCTTCTGTGTAGAGTGCTGAGTTTTATATCATGCCAATCCAAATGAATAATACAAATTTATGTCAAACTTATTGACTCATCTTTTCACCTGAAGCCTGGTCATGGAGGGATAGAGAACCAAAGCTAGCTACTCTTTGGACCAAGAAAGGTTTTTGCAGAAGATGTTTGGGAACAACTAAGATTATTTATCCACAAGCAATTACTCATCCTGTGGAAGAATCTGGACCTTGACATTCGCATTAGTTCTCACAACTTCTAGCCTCTCTTTTTCTGCTAAAGATATTTAGTTGTCTGAACAGACCCCTAACTATCTTTAAATTACTTAAAGGACAGAACTTAACACAGTACCAGATTAACTGTGTAATAATTTAGTGGTAGTCAGACATGTAACTAAGGAGAACTTTGGGAACTACCTCTGCCCTGTCCATCAAGTGACCTCTCTAATCCACCCATATACCTTCAAAATAGCTCTAATAGCACAACCCATAGAAACCAGTGAAACCATAAGGTATAGTTTAACTGTAAATCAGTATATCCTGATTTAAAGAAAAATCTCTGCTCCTTCCAGTGCTTAATTTTTATATATAGATATGGTAAGATGCTATCTGAAGTATTGAGCAAAGCACAAGCCTTTCCTGAAGGCGAACAAGTTAATTT